GACAACTTAGACACAAATTCATAGAATCCATTCACAAAATCTAGCCTGATTTAAAAAAGGCCACACAACAAATAGGAATGTAGTTACATCCCTAAACATACTGGTGTCTTATTTACAATAGTACTATCCTCTGTAATCTGAAAGGAATTTCACATTCATTTAAGGGATATGTCTCATCATGGCTTATGAATCTCTACAATTCCTCCATCTGCTCCTATACCCTTGACATTCTGGCCACCACTGTCCAGCCCCTGCTCTGGGGTCCTTTAGGCCAGCAATGAGAAAATTCAGAGGCAATAAGGCTGCCACTTATAATGACAAGGGTATGGAGATTCCACTGGGGTTCTGGATGTGGGTACAGGTAGACGCCGTGTCTGGTTTATAAACATAAACCCCGTGTCAAATACAGCAGAGTCAGGTCCTAACATGGGACAGTGTCATCTGAGTGTGACCCAGGGGAGGGAGAGAGGATCTGTTTCCAGCCAACAGGAGCCAGCTTTGATTGAGAAATAGGCTCCTCTCTTCTTTCACTTCACAGGGTCTAAAACCAGAACCAGAGCAGCCACGGCTTTCAGTTTCTCTCTGAAGCAAAATCTGAACGATGTCTGGTAGATTTCTCAAAAGAAGAGAGAAATGGCCACCAGGTACATAGGGAAATGCTCACCATAGCATCATCAGGAAAATGTGAGTCAAAGCCACAGTAAGATCTCATCCCACCCAGGTTAGAATAATGATTATCAGAAAGACCCTGACGGCGCCACGGCTCACTAGGCTAATCCTCCGCCTGCGGCGCCGGCACACCGGGTTCTAGTACAGGTTGGGGCTCCGGATTCTGTCCTAGTTGCTCCTCTTCCAGTCCAGCTCTCTGCTGTGGCCCAGGAGTGCTGAGGAGGATGGCACAAATGCTTGGGCCCTGCACCCACATGGGAGCCCAGGAGAAGCACCTGGCTCCTGGCTTTGGATCAGCGCAGTGAGCCGGCCGCAGCGGCCATTGGGGGGTGAATCAACGGAAAAGGAAGACCTTTCTCTCTGTCTCTCTCTCTCACTATCCACTCTGCCTGTCAAAACATAAATAAATAAATAAATAAATAAAAGGAAAGAAAGACCCAGAGTCACCGCTGTGGCAGGGAAGCAGTGGAAGGAGGACTTCACACACTGCTGGTGGAAATGTAAACTAGCATGGCCACTATGGAGAGCAGCATGGGGGCTGTTCAGACCCTGAAGACAGATCTACCCCAGATCCAGCAACCCACCCCTGGGTGTGTGTGCACAGGACAGGACGTGAGCTGGGGAAGAGATGTGAGTGCAGCACTCACTGCTCAGCATAGACCAGGTGTCCTGCAGTGGATGAACGGGGAGAGGAAATCTGATGTGTTCACAGGGACATAGACCTAGACATAGACCTAGAGTGAAGCATGATCAGGGCAAAATAAATAACGAAATTCTGTCATTTGTGGCAATGAAGATCGAAATAACGGAGGTATATTAACAGAAACAAGACAGACACAGAAAGATTAATACCACATGTTCTCCCCTAACAGTGGAAGCTGAAAAAGTTGATCTGAAAGAGAAGTGGAGAACAAATAGTGGTCCCCAGGGACTGAGAAGATAGAGAGAGGAAGGAGTGGGGAAGGGGTGAGGAGCGAGCACAAAATGGCAGTGCACTTGAGGGCTCAGCTCTAACGCCCTGCAGCACGGTGGGGGGACTGCTGTGGACAATAATTTATTGTCTATTTCTAAATATTGGAAGAGAGGATTTGAATGCTCCCAACCAAAGAAAATTCTCTGAGGTGATGCATTTGCTAATTACCCTGGTTTTACCACTTCATAATACATCTATGTGTCAAAATACCACTCTTAATCTATAAATACATACAATTCTCACGTGTCAGCTAAAACTTTTTTTTTTTTTTTTTTGGACAAGCAGAGTTAGACAGTGAGAGAGAGAGAGACAGAGAGAAAGGTTTTCCTTTTCCGTTGGTTCAACCCCAAATGACTGCTACGGCCAATGTGCTGCAGCCAGCGTGATGCGCCAATCCAAAGCCAGAAGCCAGGTGCTTCTCCTGGTCTCCCATGTGGGTGCAGGGCCCAAGCACTTGGGCCATCCTCCACTGCACTCCCTGGTCACAGCAGAAAGCTGGACTGGAAGAGGAGCAACCTGGACAGAGTCTGGTGCCCCAACAGGGACTAGAACCCGGTGTGCCAGTGCCACAGGCGGAGGATTAGCCAAGTGAGCCGTGGCGCTGGCTGTCAGCTAAAATTTTACAATATATTTCTTTCTTTCTTTCTTTTTTTTTTTGACAGGTAGAGTGGACAGTGAGAGAGAGAGACAGAGAAAGGTCTTCCTTTTCTGTTGGTTCACCCCACAGTGGTCGCTGTGGCCGGCGCGCTGCAGCCAGCGCGCTGTGACCAGCACACCACGCTGATCTGAAGCCAGGAGCCAGGTGCTTCTCCTGGTCTCCCATGCAGGTGCAGGAAGCACTTGGGCCATCCTCCACTGCAGTCCCAGACCACAGCAGAGAGCTGGACTGGAAGAGGAGTGACAGGGACAGAATCCGGCGCCCCGACCAGGACTAGAACCCCGGGGTGCCAGTGCTGCAGGCGGAGGATTAGCCTAGTGAGCCACGGTGCCAGCCTACAATATATTTCTAAAATGCCATCATCTGACAGAATTCAATGAGCTAATTAATCTTAGACACAGAACTTAAACCATCCAAAAGTTGAACAAGATTTCCTGCCAAGCAGTCACAATCTAGCTACACTGTGTGTAACATCCTCATAGTTGTTCTTTGTGGCATCTATGTCAGAATCTCCTTTTACCGCAGACCTGAACACTACTCTATAGAATTAATCATACTCCATAGAACTTGCCAAGTTCAATGCTGTCCCCTCTTGCTTCCCAGTGGAACCGCTGTGGGAGTCCGCCAGAGTTGACAGATTCTACCAACTCATCCTGATTCTCATGCTCTGGAATCTTCCATATCCAATAACCAAAACCAGGTGCTCCTAGAAGAAACCAACATGAGTCCAAGAATCCTTTGTGTCACTCAGTATGTCTCCTCACATGTCACCTGTCCTTTACCCACCAGTGCACACGAGGGTGCTCCTCTCTGTTACAGCTCCTGAGAACACACTGCTGTGTGTGTGAGGTGCTAATACCTAGTAGGGACTGTGCCCTCTGTCATGTGGGGTGTACATCACTAGCACAATTCCCACACCAAATTGTAGTTCATGTTGAATTGCTCAGAGTTTCAATTTTCCCACAGTCTCAACAACACTGTGTTTTTGCAGAGCTTCCATACAAATGGTTTTGAGGTTGTCTCTCAAGGAGATTTTGAATTCTATTTCCTTAGAGGGAGGGAGAGAGGGAGTGAATGCATGGTTCCTGGGAAGAACTCAGCACAGTACCTAGTACACAGCAAGTGAGAGACAGATTTGGTTTCAGGTGACTTGGTGTGGTATGCAAATGTCACTGTGAGGTTGTCGCCCTGTGTATTGACCTCTACAAACCTCAGTGTATGTCCTGGTGGGCTGGGGAGTGCACAGTGTTGCCCTGTCCCCCACCTGCCCATCCTCCTGGCTCCTGTCAGAGGCACCAAAAGCAGCAGTGTTGCTACCCTGCTTCCTCATGTTTCCTACTTGGTGGTGTGGTGACAAGGGACTGACAAAAGTTTTCTGTGCCTCCCAACTCTTAATTAAAACACCTCAGATCTATTATACTAGTGTGTGAATGACTACAGTCACCCCTGCACCCCTCCCTCTTGACCTCGCCCAGCTTCTGCCACTCTCACATCCCTTGGCTGCCCTGTGCCAGCTTGTTTCCCGTTACCCCATTCCATTCCTGAGATGCTCAGGAGGGCGGCTCCAGTCTGTTTCTGTTCATCTCAGCCCCAAGTCTCCCAGCACTTTCTGCCTGCACTGCCCATGTGTTTGCTCAGTTTTTTTTTTTTTAATTCATTCATGGAAAGAGAAAGAGATTGAGCTCATTCTACTGCTTAACTCCAATCCCTGCTGTGCCTCGAACTGGAGTCTATTATGGAGCTGGAAACTGAACCAAGTTCTCCCACATGGGTGGTGGGAACCCAGTTCCTTTAGTCACCACCACTGCACACCAGGGCCTGGATGGGCAGGAACTGAGAAGGAGCAGAGCCAGTGTTGGACCCAGGCACTGTGACTGAGCCCTGGGCATCTTGGCCTCTAGGACAAATGCCTGCAGCTTCCTTCTCCTTCCAATATAGCCTCCTCTCAAGCCGCTGTGTGTACCCAGGCCTCTCTCCCACTGCCCAGGAAGGAGCTCTGCAAGGTGTGGGCCATGCATATGGCAGGGGTTGGCTGCTCTGACTTGAGTAAGGACAGGGAGTTCCTCCTGCTTGTGGTCTTGGCTGCCAGAACTCCTGGATTCCAGTCTTCCTTCTCTCTTACAAACTATGCAACCCTGACCATGACCAAACCCCACAGCACTCTGGGTTCCCCTCCTGAAATCACCACAGTGCATACCAATCAAACACCACAGTCCAGTGGACGACTCTATGAAGTCAGGGACACTGGACTGGGCACCATCAGGGCATCACTGAGGATGGGTGGGGAAGTCCCACCTTGGCTGTTCCATCCACCGACACTCCTGGTATTTGATGAGACTAGGAGGGACCAGACACAGACACACACAGAGTGAACATATTTTGAAACAGCACCTGAGTTTATTGTGCTTGTGAATTCAGCAGGAAGTGCAGGTGTCTCCCTGAAATCACCAGGCTGACTCCTTCAGCTCAGAGACAGCACTGGGGGCCCAGGGGCAGGCGCCCAGGTCACAGCCTCTGCCAACCACACCTCAGGAAGTGAACATCAGCAGAGGGCAGAACACAGACTCTGTCCCAACACTGCCCTGCACTCTCCTAGCACAGGCGTCCCTGCCTGATGGGAACCTGGGAGCTGCACACACACAGAGGAGCCTAAGACACCACCTGCCTGAAGCACCTGCTCTTCTCCCCCAGGAGGAAGAGTGGGGCCGAGGGCGACGCTGCAGCACAAGCTGGGGGAGGCCCGTCACTCCCGGGTCATCTACTGGGACTTCTGCTGGAACCAGTGCTCATCCTCCTGCTGGGCTGGCTGTGTCTGGTGCTGCTGTTCCTGCTGGCCCTCATGCTGACCTGTCTTCTGGGATGCATTCTTGGATTGGTGGGCGTGGCTCATCTTGTTTTGACTTGTGGTGGGGGTGGGCCTTTTGCTCTGCATTGCCTCCATGGAGAACTCTTAATGTGTGTCTTTGGATGGCTCCGTCTGGGATGGCTGCTTCCCCTTGACTGACACCGTGGGGGTGGGCTTCAGTCCCTGCACAGACGTCTTGGAAGCCAGAGTGGAGCTCAGCAGGGTGAGACTGGATTCTGGATACTTGGTACCACACACCCTGGTATTCAAGATGGCCTTGGAGTCCTCACAGATGCGGTTCAATCGGCGCAGGCGCCAGCCAATTTGTCTCCAGTAGACCTTGTCATTGTTCAGGCAGTGCAGGCATGCCGTGGGGTTGCCCGCAAAGACACAGGAGAACTCGTGGTGCAGTCGAACACAATGGGCCTGCAGATGGACTCCTTCCTCCTTCCTGGTCACGGTCACATTGCATTTGGCCTGGTCTCTGCTGACAAAGCTGCCAGTGACAATGACCTGGGTTGGCGGGCTTGTGGACACTATCACAGGCTTCTCCAGAGGAACCCACCCATCCTGCTCCGCCTCCAAATTCACTTCATCCTGTTCTCTGCTTTGGGCCTCTGTCAGGAGCCCCTGAGCCGCCAGCAGGAGGACGGAGAGCAGGGTGAGAGTGCGGGTCCACATGGTTCAGCTGGGCGGGCACCTGTTGGACAAAAGGCAGGGTCAGGGTCAGGTCAGGGGTACAGGGGTCAGGGTCAGGTCAGGTGTGCAGAAGTTAGTGGCGCAGGGTCATGGACATGTCAGGGTTACAGGGGTCATGGTGCAGGGTTTGTACATGGTCAGTGGTGCAGGGTCATGGGTGCAGTGTCAGTGGTGCAGGGTCGAGGTACAGGGTCAGGGTTCAGGGTCAATAGTACTGGGTCAGTCGTGCAGAGTGAGTGTGCAGTGTTTGGATATAGGGTCAGGATGGAGGTCAGTAGTGCACGGTCAAGGTGCAGGGTCAGTGATGCAGGTTTCCATTGTGCAGGGTCAGAACAATGGAGGTGAAGAGTTACAGGGTGGCCTCCCTCCTCCCTGCCACAGTCCTGCCTGATTTAGGAGGAGACAAGCATCCTCTGGCTCTGGGATGCCAGGGCAAGCAGCCCAACCTCTCCCACGTGCACCTGACCTGAGACTGCAGTGACCCAGGCTGCCAGGCCTCACCTGCCCTCTCTACTCACTGAGCCTTGTGAGTGCTCAGTCCCTCCTCCCCTCACTCACCCACTCCTGCTCCTCTCACCAACTCCGTCCTGCAGCACTCACTCAGCAAGCACTTACTGAGCACCTACTGCATGCCATGCACTAGTTAGGTTGTCTACACACTGAGGTGAATGAGAAAGCCTTGGATCTTTAAGAATACAAGGCTGATCCCTGGGAACTGTAAATAGCACTGACCAGGGAGTCTGTCCCATCTGTGTCCTAATCTCTTCTAGGAAGTGTCATTTCCTCCTCTGTGCCTCAGTTCCTGCACCTGGCACTCAAGGTGTGCACAAATTCATCACCAACTCCTCCTGCTGCCCTGTGCTTGGTCTCTATCTCATTGTTCCACAGACACCCAGGACCCAAGATGCAAAGGGGGCAGGGAGAGTCCTGAAGGTGCCAGGAGGTGACCCAGAGGCTGAACCCCATGGAGGCTGACACAGGTGCTGGGTGGGGTGGGAGTGGGGTGGAGCTGTCTGGGAGGAGTAAGAGCTGAGGAAAGGCATGAAGGGGGGAGCTCGTCTGACCCCTGTGGGAAAGAGAAGCCGGGAGGGGAGCGGCGAGTTTCAGACAGCGTTTGAGTGCAGGTGACAAGAATCGCTCCTGACTGGGTTCTAGACCTGGTGCTGAGCATACAAATGTTCTTTGCTGACCCTGGACAAAAATTACTGAATTCATAGCAAGGCCTTCAGTGTCAATAGAAACCACACACAAATGTATTCCCTTCCCTACTTCACATCGTAACTAACGAGAACCAACTACCAGGCTGGTGCCTCCTCCCCTTATTAGACCTGGACTTCAACTGTTCTCCTAAGAACTTCAGGACCTTTGTCCCCCCTGTCCTCCACAACTGCCCTTTCTCTGTTAACAATCATCCTGCAGGCTTGCACAGGGGGACAGCATATTCTGGACCAAGGCACTTGCTTCCTCCCAGGCCACTCTGTCACACCTTGTCCCCGTGCTCAGTCTCCTCTCTGCCATAGTCACTGTACAGTGTGGAGCAGGGGGCCTAACTCCATCCGGGCACAGCAGTTAATGCACCAAGTTCACCAGGTGAACCACCAAACCACACTGGGTAGAAGAAAAGTCCAATGCTATGGAACACTGACTACACGCTGAGCACTGGTCCAGCGTTCCAGTCTCACCTTGTTTAATCCACACAAGAACCCTACAACCAGGCTGATTACAGGAACAGCCCCAAGGAAGAGCCCGACAGTGAGGCCCTGCCAGTAAGTAACTGTGCCGGTCTCATGGTGTGGAGGATAGAGCCCCGCAGGGTATGACCCCAGCACCCTGTCCCTTCCTGCCACGGCTTGTAGATCACTCCTGCTCTGCACTGCTCAGCTAACCATGAGACAATGAGGGCAAAAGGAAGACAACTGTGAACCAAGCAGGATTTAGCACTGATGACAAGATGATCCACTTAACTGTGAACTATTCCCATAAACCATGAAAATTCCTGGGGATAGGCCCAGGAAATGGCCCTGTCTGCATTTCCACCTGAGTTTGGGCCACTTCCAGGGTTGGGGGTGGACCAGAGCCATGGAGTGTGGGACGGGAGACCTAATACGCCAGCTGATGGCTCAGGTTGTCCCACAGCCTCCTCCTACCACTCTGGGGCCCCTCAGAGCCTGGGAAGTGGGGCAGGAAATGAAGCTCTGGAGAGAGAGAGAGAGTGCGCGAGGCTCTTACCAGTCCTGCGTCTGCAGATCCAGCGCAATCCCCGAAGCCAGGCGAGGTGCAGGTTGCAGCTGTCTCAGGGGAGGTGCAGGGCAGGGTCTGCTATTTGTACTGGAGCCCAAGCCCACAGGGGTTACAGCTCCCATACCTGAGGAGCTGAGCTCACACTGCCCCTGGGCCATGTCCCTTCTCCTTAGGAACCAGGCAGGTCCTGCAGGAAAGTGCTTAGGGGCATACTATCCACTGTCCCCTGAAATGAGCTTTACTCCATTTAGCACAAATATTGACAATTGAATGGCTTTTGATTCCCTGTGAGCACATCTCCTTCTACTCCTATGCCCTGCACATTCTCCCACCTTTGCCCTTTCTCAGATCTGAGGTCCTTTGGGGCCACTGTTTAGAAAATCTTGAGATAACAACACTGCCACTGTAAATGAAAAAGGCACAGGAATTCCACTGAGGGACCGGAAGAGGGCACAGGGTGGACCAGCAGGCTGAGGACCTGGCAGAGCCCAGCACTGACATTGACAGTTCACGCGGGTCTCTGGGTGTGACACTGGGAGGAACGGAGGATCTGACTCCAGCCAACAGGGCTCAGCTTTGCTGGGAAGCAGACCCCCCTCTTTACCTTCACAGGGAAAGAAACCTCTTTCAGGTTCTCTCTGAAGCAATCATCTGACCGATGTCTGGCAGATTTCTCAAAAGAAGGCATGGACATGGCCTCCAGGTACATAGGGAAATGCTCACCATCACCATCCTCAGGGAAAGGTCAGTCAAAGCCACAGTCAGTTCTCATCCCACCCCAGTCAGAATAACGATGATCAGAAAGACCAGAGTCACAGCTTTGTCAGGGTCGCAGTGGAAGGAGGACTTCACACACTGCTGGTGGAAATGTAAACTAGCATGGCCACTATGGAGAGCAGTGTGGGGGCTGTTCAGACCCTGAAGACAGATCTACCCCAGATCCAGCAACCCCACCCCTGGGTGTGTGTGCACAGCACAGGACGTGAGCTGGGGAAGAGATGTGAGTGCAGCACTCACTGCTCAGCATAGACCAGGTGTCCTGTAGTGGATGAATGGGGAGAGGAATTCTGTGTGTTCACAGGGCCATAGACATAGACATACAGGGAAGCATGACCAGGGCAAAATAAATAACAAATTCTGTCATTTGTGGCAATGTAGATCGAAATAATGGAGGTATATTAACAGAAACAAGACAGACACAGAAAGAAAGATACCACATGTTCTCCCCTAACAGTGGAAGCTGAAAAAGTTGATCTGAAAGAGAATTGGAGAGTAAACAGTGGTCCCCAGGGACTGAGAAGATAGAGAGAGGAAGGGGTGGGAAAGAGGTGAGGAGTGAGCACAAAACGACTGTGCACTTGAGGGCTCAGTTCTAACACCCTGCAGCACAGTGGGGGGACTGCTGTGGACAATAATTTACTGTCTATTTCTAAATAATGGAAGAGAGGATTTGAATGCTCCAAAGCAAATATTTTTGAAGTGATGCATTGGCTAATACCCTGGTTTTACAACTGCATATTTATGTGCTAAACTACTCATTTTATCCCTATATGAGTACAATTCTCAATGGTGAGCTAAATTCTTAAAATATATTAACTCAATCAGATGACAGAATTCAATGAGATAATTAATCTTAGGATCAGAACTTAAACCATCCAAAATTTGAACAAGTTTTCCTATATAACTGTTACGATCCTGCTGATTAGTTTTACTTCCTTCCCAGACTGATGAAGGACACCTGCTGTAGTTTCCAGAGGAATTGGTGACTCCATGGTGACATCGTGCACTGACCTCATCCCGAGAGACAAGCCCTGGGGTGAGCAGAGTTGGCTCCTTGCCCTTGGTCGGGAGATCTCCTTCCAGCTGACTGATAAGCACACCACCTGCACAGCACAGGGCATCTGCAAGTCTTTCCCAGCCTGGTCACAGCAGATCTTTATGGCCTCTGTGCTGGTGTGGCCATTGCTATCCCCTGCAATGCAAGAGTGCTTCAAGTGATGGGAAAAGAATGCAATTAAGAGATAAATATGTTTTGGTTCTTGAAAGTTTGAGAGTCAGGCATTGCAACATTCTGGGAAAGACTTTCCCTGGGATCTCAGCATCCCACATGGGGGCCAGTTTGAGTCCCAGCTGTTCCACTTCCAATGCTGTTCCCTGCTAATGGCCTGGGAAAGCAGCAAAAATGGCCCAAGTACGAGGGTCCCTCCACCATTTGGAGACCCTGAGAAGGCTCTTAGATCCTGGCTTCAGCCTGGGACAGACATGGCCATTGTAGATATTTAGTTAGTGAACTGGCAGAAGGAAGATCTCTCTCTGTATCTCCTGCTCTCTCTATAATTCTGACTTTCAAATCAATAAATAAGTCATTAAAAAGTTGTGAATCCATGTGTAAATTTTTTCACAGCATGCATTTTCTATGAATTTTTTACAGTCAAATTCATCCTTTGAATAAAAGAGTTAGGAGATAGGTGAGCCTGGAACATCCCTTGCTGAGTGTCCCTTTGCTACATTGCATATCTGGGGACCCCAGAACAATGGCAGTAATTCAGCATCAAAGACCACTTTGAAGGACACATTTTTCTCTAACTCAAGTCTATTGCCAACCTGTAGGAGGCTGGGCACTCCAGTTGCTGATTCTCTAACAATATATATATTTCATGGTACACAAAGGATATCATATATCTCCTAAAACCTAATAAATTATACTTACAATGTATGCATCTCCCTAGAATTTGTCAAGTATTTCTTGCAGTAAGTATCGTGATTTTTTAATGTTCAGTCATTTGCCCAATGTACTTTTGGCTCAGTAATCAAATGAAATTTGAACTCTGCATGTAAAAACAGGAATACGTAGCAGGGATTCTGTGGGTCGATGCCACTAGTTCATATGATAACTATTGGCTCAGTGCCTGGATAGAGCTGAGACAGGTTCTGTGCAAACTGTGCAGGTGTGGACAACTTCACAACAGGTGCATCAGAGGCTGTCAAACAGGTGTTTTGGCAGCTGTACCTCCAGGGTCTGTAAACCCAATGACATCTTCTGCTGAAAACATGTAGAGTGGTGTGTGTGATGAAGTGTGGCAGGGGATCCCCAAGCCCCCATTGGAACAGGGCTCCTGCCACTCTCTGTTGGGGACGAAGGTACGGGCACTTAATGGAGACTTGGGGTCTTAGAAAGGAGTGCCAGACCCACTGCACCCAGGACTCCCCATCTGCCTGGGATCCCTCAGACCTAAGGACAGACTTGGACATCAAACAGATTTCTCATTGCCATGGCCTTAGAACACTCCTCCCTGAGGATGCCTGGGCTTGGTTGACTGAAAACTCATCCCAATAAATACTGATGCATCCACTAGGTGGCAGCAGTGACCTAGCCCATGAGAAGTCTGTGTGAAGAGACTGAGTAAAAGCTTGCAATCCATGAGCTAGACAGCCAGCCAGTGCTCCTGCCTCGGGTCACTCTCCTGAGGGACAGGCTGCCCTTTCACCTTCTCCTGTGAATGACTAGGTGTCGCTGGGTTCTATGAGCCCCAGCCTGCTCCACTCAGAGAAGCCACTTTGTCAGGAGCAGTGGAAAGGACCCAAGCCGCTGAGACCTGTTCCCTGAGATTCATGGTGTAATATCTGGAAGATTAAAAATGACCTCTGGACTATTAACAAAACTTGACTGAAAAATAAGCTGGCCTACGGTGTTATTAGCACTGTGGCTTGGGTCTCAGTCAGAGTGCATGAGCATTAATGCAGCTGGACTCTGAGAGAGGACTCCCATTGTTGAAACTGGAACAGAAAAGTTTGCATTTCAGAAAGACCTGCTCTCTATATCCCTCTCAGCCCAGAATCCCTCAACCATTGCTCTGTTTTTTTTTGTTGTTGTTGTTGTTGTTGTGTTTCTTGATCCTATTGGTGACATGCAAGGGGACATATGGGGACAAGAAGGAGTCGTGGGCTAAAATTGGTTTCTTCTAGCTCCACGACCTTCTACCTATTGGAAAAAGGTTGCAGATCATGAACTCAGGATGAGTTATTAGAATTTCCACACTCTGGAGGACTTTCACTGCAGCTCTACTGGGAACAAGAGGGGACAACATTGAACTTGGGAAGTTCTCCCATTACATCCATCCATGAATACTGGCCTCTCTATAAGTGAGGTCTGCCTGTGGGTGGGTGGTTGAGTGGCAAAAGGAGATTCAGTGACTACTGGATTTGAACAAACAGTCTAGACCACCATGGGAGGGAAGTCACACCCCCAAAACCTACAGAATAAACCCCTGTTGTGTTTAGATATATAATCCACTTTCAGTTTACTTTCTGTACAGAATGAAGTAATGCCATGTTTTCTTTTGGATATTCAGTTATGCTAGTCTCATTTGAGGAAAAGATTTATAACTTTCATTGAAATTACAGTAAAACACATATCATCATAGCCATTTTTAGATAGATTAGTCCTATCAAAATTTTCCATATAGTTTCATAAATATTACTACCATCCACCTCATAACTCATAGTCTCACACAATGATGAACATATAAATGTATAAATGCTAATGTTCAATTTCACCTCACCCAAGTCCCTGGCACCAGCATTCACCTTGCTGTCTCTAACAGTTCCATCTAGGTCTCTCACGTAGGTGGCATGGTACAACACTAATCTATGTGATGGCTTCTTTCACTGTGTGTAACATCCTCATAGCTGTTCTCTGTGCCATGAATGTCAGAATCTACATTCTCTGAAGACCTGAATACTAGTCTAGAATTCCTGTACCATGTGTTACCTGTCCTTTCACCACCAGTGCACACGAGGGTGCTTCTCTGAGTTACAGCTCCTGAGAACACACTGCTGTGCGTGTGAAGTGCTAATACCTAGTAGGGACTGTGCCCTCTGTCAAATGGGGTGTACACCACCAGCAGAATCCCCACACCAAATCCTAGTTCATTTTGAATTGCTCAAAGTCCCCACAGCCTCATAACACTGTGTTTTTCAGAGCTTCCATACAAACGGTTTTGAGTTGTCTCTCAATGAGATTATGAATTCTATTTCCTTAGATGGAGGGAGAGAGAGAGTGAATGCCTGGTCCTGGGAAGAACTCAGCACAGTACCTGGTACATAGCAAGTGAGAGACAGATGTTGGTTTCTGTGGAGTTGGTATGATACCCAAATGTCCCTGTGAGGCTGTCACCATGTGCATTGACCCCTACAAACCTCAGTGTGTCCTGGTGTTTTGGTGAGTACACAGTGCTGTCCTGTCCCCCACCTGCCCATCCTCCTGGCTCCTGTCAGAGGCACCAAAAGCAGCAGTTACTACCCTGCTTCCTCACATTTCCTTCTTGGTGGTGTGGTGACAAGGGCCTGACAACAGTTCTTCTGCTCCTCCCAACTCTTCAGTTAAAACACGTCAGATCTATTATACTAGTGTGTGAATGACTACAGTCACCCCTGCACCCCTCCCTCTTGACCTCGCCCAGCTTCTGCCACTCTCACATCCCTTGGCTGCCCTGTGCCAGCTTGGTTCCCGTTACCCCATTCCATTCCTGAGATGCTCAGGAGGGCGGCTCCAGTCTGTTTCTGTTCATCTCAGCCCCAAGTCTCCCAGCACTTTCTGCCTGCACTGCCCATGTGTTTAATTTTTTTGAATTATTCATTGGGAGAGAAAAAGATTGAGCTCATTCTACTGCTTAACTACAATGCCTGCCATGCCTCAAACAAGAGTCAATCATGAAGCTGGAAACTGAACCAAGGTCTCCCACATGGGTGGTGGAAATCCAATTTCTTTACTCACGACCACTGCACACCAGGGCTTGCATGGGCAGGAAGCTGATTAAGGAGAAGAGCCAGGTATTGAACCCAGGTGCTGTGACTGAGCCCTGGGCATCTTGGCCCCTAGGAAAATGCCTGCAGCTCCCTCCTCCTTTGCTAACAGCCTCCTCTCAGGCTGCTGTGTGTACCCAGGCCTCTCTCCCACTGCCCAGGAAGGAGCTCTGCAAAGTGGGAGACATGCCTATGGCAGGGGTGGGATGCTCTGACTTGAGTGAGGACAGGGAGTTCCTCTAGTTTGTAGACACAGCTACCAGAATTCCTGGGTTCCAGTCGTGCTTCTCCCTTACGAGCTATGCAACCCTGACCATGACCAAACCCCACAGTATTCTGGGTTCACCTCCTGAAATCACCACACTCTATACAGTTCAAACACCACAGCTCGGTGGACGACTCTATGAAGAAAGGGAAAATGGAATGGGTCCCATCAGGGGACCACTGAGGATGGCTGGGGAAGGCCCACCCTGGCTTTTCCATCCACTGACACTCTGGTTTAGGTTGATGAGATCATGTGGGACCAGATACAGAGACACAAACACCGAGAGAACATATTTTGAAACAGCACCTGAGTTTAATTTGCTTTTAATTCAATAGGAAATGTAAGTATCTCGAAGAAATCACCAGGCTGACTCCTTCAGCTCAGAGACAGCACTGGGGGCCCAGGGGCAGGCGCCCAGGTCACAGCCTCTGCCAACCACACCTCAGGAAGTGAGCATCAGCAAAGGGCAGGACACAGACTCTGTCCCAACACCACCCTGTGCTCTCCTAGCACAGACGTCCCTGCCTGATGGGAACCTGGGAGCTGCACACACACAGAGGAGCCTAAGACACCACCTGCCTGAAGCCCCAGCTCTTCTCCCCCAGGAGGAAGACTGGGGCCGAGGGCGACGCTGCAGCACAAGCTGCGGGAGGCCCGTCACTCCCGGGTCATCTACTGGAACTTCTGCTGGGACCAGTGCTCGTCCTCCTGCTGGGCTGGCTGTGTCTGGTGCTGCTGTTCCTGCTGGCCCTCGTGCTGACTTGTCTTCTGGGATGCAGTCTTGGATTTGATGACTGTTGTACTCACAAAGGTGAGTTTAGTGGTGCTGGAGGCTTGTGTCTGGGCTTGGCTGGTGGTGGTCACTGACGGCCCTTTTGTCTGAGTATGGTGGTCTCCCGATCCAGCTGTGTGTTGTCTGGTTGTTTCAATCTTGACCTGCTCTGTGGGAGTGGTTGTGTTGTTTTAACTTGACTGGTGATGGTGGGCCTGTTACTCTTGGTTGCCTCTTAGGAGAAGACGTGCTATTTGCCTTTGGATGGCTCTGTCTGGGATGGCTGCTTCCCCTTGACTGACACCGTGGGGGTGGGCTCCCTGCACAGACGTCTTGGAAGCCAGAGTGGAGCTCAGCAGCGTGAGACTGGATTCTGGATACTTGGTACCACACACCCTGGTCTCCAGGATGGCCTTGGAGTCCTCACAGATGTGGTTCAAGCGGCGCAGGTGCCAGCCAATTTGTCTCCAGTAGACCTTGTCACTGCTCAAATAGAGTAGGCACTCACTAGGGTCACCTCCAAAGACACAGGAGAACTCATGGTCCAGTCGAACACAATCAACCTGGAGATGGACTCCTTTCTCCTGCCTGGTCACGGTCACATTGCATTTGGCCTGGTCTCTGCTGACAAAGCTGCCAGTGACAATGACCTGGGTTGGCGGGTTTGTGGACACTATCACGGGCTTCTCCAGAGGAACCCACCCATCCTGCTCCGCCTCCAAATTCCCTTCATCCTCTTCTCCACTTTGGGCCTCTGTCAGGAGCCCCTGAGCAGCCAGCAGGAGGACAGAGAGCAGGGTGAGAGTGCGGGTCCACATGGCTCAGCTGGGCGGGCACCTGTTGGACACAAGGCAGGGTCAGTGGTGCAGGGTCAGGGTGCAGGTGTCAGAGTGCAGGTTAAGTTTGCAGGGTCAGTGGTGCAGGTTCAGGGTGAAGGGTCAGTGGTGCAATGTCGAGGTATATGGTCAGGTTGCAGGGTCAATAGTACTGGGTCAGCATTGCAGGGTCATGGTGAAGGGTCAGTGGTGCAGTGGTCAGGGTGAAGGGTCAGGAGAAAGTGGAGGTGAAGAGTTACAGGGTGGCCTCCCTCCTCCCTGCCACAGTCCTGCCTGATTTAGGAGGAGACCAGCATCCTCTGGCTCTGGGATGCCAGGGCAAGCAGCCCAACCTCTCCCACGTGCACCTGACCTGAGACTGCAGTGACCCAGGCTGCCAGTCCTCACCTGCCCTCGGCACTCACTGAGCCTTGTGAGCGCTCAGTCCCTCATCCCCTCACTCACCTACTCCTGCTCCTCTCACCCACTCATCCTGCAGCACTCACTCAACAAGCACTTACTGAGCACCTACTGCATGCCATGCACTAGTGAGGATTTCCACACACTGAGGTGAATGAGAACGCCTTGGGTCTTTAAGAATTTGAAGCTGATCCCTGGGATATGTAAATAGCACTGACCAGGGATTCTATCCCATCTGTGTCCTCAATCTCTTCCTGGAAATGTCACTTTCTCCTCTGTGCCTCAGTTCCTGCACCTGGCACTCAAGGTCTGCATGAATTCATCACCAACTCCTCCTGCTGCCCCACACTTGGTCTCTATCTCATTGTTCCACAGACACCCAGGACCCAAGATGGAAAGGGGGCAGGGAGAGTTCTGAAGGTGCCAGGAGGTGAAGCAGAGGCTGAACCCCATGGAGGCTGACACAGGGGCTGTGGGTGGGGAAGCTGTCTGGGGGGAAGTAAGAGCTCAGGAAGTGCATGAATGTGGGAGCTCATCTGATCCCAGCAGGGTAAGAGAAACAGGGAGGGGAGCAGCGAGTTTCAGACAGTCCTTGGAGTGCAGGTGCAAAACAAGAATCCTACCCAGTTAGGTTTGCGACCTGAGTGCTGAGCATACAAACGCCCTTAACCAATCCTTGAAAAAATTGCAGAATTCATAGCAAGGCTTTCAGCTCAATAGAAACCATGCGTAAATGCATGTCCCTTCCCTACTTCACATCGTAACTAAGGAGAACCAACTACCAGGCTGGTGACTCCTCCCTTACTACTCCTGGTCTTCAACTGTTCTCCAAGACTTAAGGACCCACTGTCCCCCCTGTCCTCCACAGCTGCCCTGTCTCCCTTACAATCATCCTGCAGGCTTGCACAGGGGAACAGCTTGTTCTAGACTAAGGCACCTGCTTCATCCCGGGCCACTCTGTAACACCTCGTCTCCCTGTCCATCTCCTCTCTGCACAGTGTGGAGCAAGTGGTCTACTTCCTTCCCAGGAACATCAGTTACTGCACAGATTACTAGATTCAATCCACACTGGGAGGAAGAAGAGAAGTCCAATTCTATCAGACACCGACTGCACGCTGAGCACTGGTCCAGCGTTCCAGTCTCACCTTGTTTAATCCACAGAAAACCCTGCAACCAGGCTGATTATAGGAACAGCCCCAAGAAGGAGTCCTGGCAGTGAGGCCCTGCCAGGTAAGTAACTGTGCTGGTCCAGTGTGTGGAGGAACAGAGCCCCGCAGGGAGTGAACCCATCTCCCCACCCCTTCCTGCCACTTCTTGTAGTCACCCCTGCTCTGCACTGCTCACCTAACTTTGAGACAATGCTGGCAAAAGGAAGACAACTGTGAACCAAGCAGGATTTAGCACTGATAAGTTGATTCACGTAAGCTGAGATCTTTTCCCAAAATGAAAGAATTGTGGAGCTCGTGCAGTGGCACAATGGGTTAATCCTACTCTTGGGGTGCCAGCATCCCATATGGCACCGGTTCTAGTCCCGGCTGCTCCTCTTCCAATCCAGCTCTCTGCTGTGGCCTGGGAAAGCAGTTTAAGATGGCTCAAGTGCTTGCGTCCCTGTACCCAAATGGGAAACCAGGAAGGAGAACCTGGCTCCTGGCTTCGGATCAGCACAGTTCCAGCCCTTGAACCATTGGGGGAGTGAACCAAAGGAAGGAAGACCTTCCTCTCTGTCTCTGCCTCTCACTATCTGTAACTCTACCTGTCAAATATAATAAATAAAATCTTAAAAAAAAAATGGAAATTTGTTTATAAAGGGGCAGGCCCAAAAATTGGCACTGTCCACATTTCCTCCTTAGTTTGGGCCTCGTCCAGGGATTGGGAGTGGGCCAGAGCCACGGTGGGTGGGACAGAAAGACTAATAGGACAGCTGACGACTCACTCATGTCCCACAGCCTCCTCCTACCCCACTGGGATCCTCAATCTGGGATGTGGGGCAGGAAATGAAGCTCTGGAGAGAGAGAGAGAGAGAGAGAGAGAGGCTCTTACCAGTCCTGCGTCTGCAGATCCAGCTCAATCCCCGATGCCAGGCGAGGTGCAGGTTGCAGCTGTCTCAGGGGAGGTGCAGGGCAGGGTCTGCTATTTGTACAGGAGCCCAAGCCCACAGGGGTTACAGCTCACATACCTGAGGAGCTGAGCTCACACTGCCCCCGGGCCATGTCCCTTCTCCTTAGGAACCAGGCAGGTCCTGCAGGAAAGTGCTTAGGGGCATACTATCCACTGTTACCTGAAATGAGCTTCACATTGATCTAACACACATGTTGCTAATTGAATGGCTTTTGTATCCCAAAGAGCACATCTGCTTCTGCTCCTATGCCCTGCACATTCTCCCACCACTGCCATTTCTCAGATCTGAGGTCCTTGGGGACACTGATTAGAAAATCTTGGGATAACAACACTATACTATAAATGACAAGGAACAGGAATTCCACTAGAGGACTGGATTAGGGCACAGGGTGGACCCAGCAGGTTGAGGACCTGGCAGAGCCCAGCACTGACATTGACAGTTCACGCGGGTCTCTGGGTGTGACACTGGGAGGAATGGAGGATCTGACTCCAGCCAACAGGGCTCAGCTTTGCTGGGAAGCAGGCCCCCCTCTTTACCTTCACAGGGACTAAAACGTCTTTCAGGTTCTCTCTGAAGCAATCATCTGACCGATGTCTGGCAGATTTCTCAAAAGAATGCATAGACAGGACCTCCATGTACATAGGGAAATGTTCACCATCACCATCCTCAGGGAAAGGTCAGTCAAAGCCCCAGTCAGTTCTCATCCCACCCCAGTCAGAATAACGATTATCATAAAGACCAGAGTCACAGCTTTGTCAGAGTCGCAGTGGAAGGAGGACTTCACACACTGCTGGTGGAAATGTAAACTAGCATGGCCACTATGGAGAGCAGTGTGAGGGCTGTTCAGACCCTGAAGACTGATCTACCCCAGATCCAGCAACCCCACCCCTGGGTGTGTGTGCACAGCACAGGACGTGAGCTGGGGAAGAGATGTGAGTGCAGCACTTACTGCTCACCATAGACCAGGGCCCTGCATTGGATGAACAGGGAGAGGAAATCTGATGTGTTCACAGGGACATAGACATAGACATAGAGTGAATCATGATCAGGGCTAAAATAAATAATGAAATACTGTCATTGGTGGAATGTGGGTGGAATTAAAGGACAGCATATTAGGAGAAACAAGACAGACACAGAAAGAAAGATACCACATGTTCTCCTCTAACAGTGGAAGCTGAAATTTTTGATCTGAAAGAGAAGTGGAGAGTAAACAGTGGTCCCCAGGGACTGAGAAGATAGAGAGAGGAAGGGGTGGGGCAGGGGTGAGGAGCGAGCACAAAATGGCAGTGCACTTGAGGCCTCAGCTCTAACGTCCTGCAGCACAGTGGGAGGACTGCTGTGGGCAATAATTTATTGTTTGTATCTAAATATTGGAAAAGAGGATTTGAATGCTCCCCCAAAAAGAAAATATTTTTGAAATGACCCATTTGACAATACCCTGGTTTACAACTGCATATTATATCTATGTGTCAAACTACTCATATACCCAATATAAGTAAAATTCTCAAATATATTAACTCAATCATATGAAGAATTCAATGAGCTAATTAATCTTAGACTTAGAACTTAAACCATCCAAAACTTGAACAAGTGTTCCTATCCAGCAGTTAGATTCCAGCTCAGTTGGTTTTACTTCCTCCCAGAGTGATGAAGGACACCTGCTGTAGCTTCCAGAGGAATTGGTGACTCCATGGTGACATCGTGCACTGACCTCATCCCCAGAGACAAGCCCTGGGGTGAGCAGAGTTGGCTCCTTGCCCTTGAGTGGGGAGATCTCCTTCCAGCTGACTGATAAGCACACCACCTGCACAGCACAGGGCATCTGCAAGTCTTTCCCAGCCTGGTCACAGCAGATCTTTATGGCCTCTGTGCTGGTGTGGCCATTGCTATCCCCTGCAATGCAAGAGTGCTTCAGAAGTCATGGGAGAAGAATGCAATTAAGAGATAAATTGATTTTGGTTCAACAATGTTTGAGAGTCTGGGATTGTGTTGTCCTGGGAAAGACTTTCCCCTGGGACCTCAGCATCCCACGTGGGGGCCAGTTTGAGTCCCAGCTGTTCCACTTCCAATGCTGCTCCCTGCTAATGGCCTGGGGAAGCAGCAGTAATGGCCCAAGTACGAGGGTCCCTCCACCATTTGGAGACCCTGAGAAGGCTCCTGGCTCCTGGCTTCAGAGTGGGCCAGCCATGGCCATTGTTGACTTTTAGTTAGTGAACTGGCAGAAGGAAGATTTCTCTCTGTCTCTCCTGCTCTCTCTATAATTCTGATTTTCAAAGCAATAAATAAGTATTTAAAAAATTTTATAATCCATGTGAACATTTTTCATAGCATGCATTTTCTATGAATTTTTTAACTATCAGTCCAATTCATACTTTGAATTGAAAAGAGCTAGGAGATAGGTGAGCCTGGAGCATCCCTTGCTGAGTGTCCCTTTGCTGACATTGCAGATCTGGGTGCCCCAAAACGATGGCAGTTTGGCAGCATCAAAGACCCCCTTGAAGGACACATTTTCTCTAACTCAAGTCTATTGCCAACCTGTAGGAGGCTGGGCACTCCTGTTGCTGATCCTCTAACAATAAATCTTTCTTGCTACCCAAAGCTTATCATAGATATCCTAAAACCTAATAAATTATACCTATAGTGTGTGCTTTTTTTGTTTTTTGACAGGTAGAGTGGACAGTGAGAGAGAGAGACAGAGAGAAAGGTCTTCCTTTTGCTGTTGGTTCACTCTCCAGTGGCCGCTGCGGCCGGTGCGCAGCGGCTGGCGCACCACGCTGATCTGAAGTCAGGAGCCAGGTGCTTCTCCTGGTCTCCCATACCGGAGCAGGGCCCAAGAACTTGGACCATCCTCCACTGCACTCCCGGGCCACAGAAGAGAGCTGGCCTGGAAGAGGGGCAACCAGGACAGAATCCGGCGCCCCGACCAGGACTAAAACATGGTGTGCTGGTGCCACAGGTGGAGGATTAGCCTATGGAGCCACGGGGCCGGCCAACCTGCATAACTTCTAATCTCACACAATGATGAACATATAAATGTATAAATGCTAACGTTCAGTTTCACCTCACCCACGTCCCTGGCACCAGCATTCACCTTGCTGTCTCTAACAGTTCCATCTAGGTCTCTCACGTAGGTGGCATGGTACAACACTAATCTATGTGAAGGCTTCTTTCACTGTGTGTAACATCCTCTTAGTTGCTCTCTGTGCCATGGATGTCAGAATCTCCTCCTTCTGAAGACCTGAATACTACTCTAGAATTTCTGTACCATGTGTTACCTGTCCTTTCACCCACCAGTGCACACCAGGGTGCTTCTCTGAGTTACAGCTCCTGAGAATACACTGCTGTGCGTGTGAACTGCTAATACCTAGTAGAGACTATGCCCTCAGTCAAATGGGGTGTATGCAACCAGCAGAATTCCCACACCAAATCCTAGTTCAGTTTGAATTGCTCAAAGTTCCCAATTTTCCAGCAGTCTCAACAACACTGTGTTTTTACAGATTTTCCATAGAAATGGTTTTCTCTCAAGGAGAGAGGTTGTCTCTCAATGAGATTTTGAATTCTATTACCTTAGAGGGAGCAAGAGAGGGAGTGAATACATGGTCCCTGGAAAGAACTCAGCACAGTACCTGGTACATAGCAAGTGAGAGACAGATGTTGGTGTCAGTGGAGGTGGTGTGATACCCAAATGTCCCTGTGAGGTTGTCACCTTGTCATTGGCCCCTACAAATCTCAGTGTATGTCCTGGTGTTCTGGTGAGTGCACAGTGCAGCCCTGTTCGCCACCTGCCCATCCTCCAGGCTCCTATCAGAGGCACCAAAAGCAGCAGTGTTGCTACCCTGCTTCCTCTCGTTTCCTTCTTGGTGGTGTGGTGACAAGGGCCTGACAACAGTTCTTCTGCTCCTCCCAACTCCCAAGTTAAAACACATCAGATCTATTATACTAGTGTGTGAATGACTACAGTCACCCCTGCACCCCTCCCTCTTGACCTCGCCCAGCTTCTGCCACTCTCACATCCCTTGGCTGCCCTGTGCCAGCTTGGTTCCCGTTACCCCATTCCATTCCTGAGATGCTCAGGCGGGCGGCTCCAGTCTGTTTCTGTTCATCTCAGCCCCAAGTCTCCCAGCACTTGCTGCCTGCACTGCCCATGTGTTTGCTCAGGTTTTTTTTTTAATTATTGATTGGGAGAGAGAAAGAGATAAAGAGATTGAGCTCTGTTTCAACAGGTTAACTCCTAATCTGGCCATGCCTCAAACTGGAGTCTATTATGTCAACCAACTTCTCCCACGTGGGGGTGGGGAACCCAGTTCCTTTAGTCACCACCACTGCACACCAGGGCCTGGATGGGCAGGAACTGAGAAGAAGCATGCCAGTGTTGGACCCAGGCACTGTGACTGAGCCCTGGGCATCTTGGCCTCTAGGACAAATGCCTGCAGCTCCCTCCTCCTTTGCTAACAGCCTCCTCTCAGGCTGCTGTGTGTACCCAGGCCTCTCTCCCACTGCCCAGGAAGGAGCTCTGCAAGTCGGGGCCTCTGCCTATGGCAGGGCTTGGCTGGACTAACTTGAGTGAGGACAGGGGGTCCTCTAGCTGGTGGTCTCGGCTGCCAGATTTCCTGGGTCACTCTTGCTTCTCCCATACAAACGATTCAACCTTGACCATATCCAAACCCCACAGTACACTGGGTTCCCCTCCTGGAATCTGCACACTGCATACCATTCAAACACCACAGTCCAGTGGACGGCTCTATGAAGACAGGGGCACAAGACTGGGTCACATCAGGGGACCACTGAGGATGGGTGGGGAAGTCCCACCCTGGCTGTTCCACCCACTGATAATCTGTTTTAGGTTGATGAGATCATGTGGGACCACACACAGAGACACAAACACTGGTTGAATGTATTTTGAAACAGCACCTGAGTTTATTATGCTTGTGAATTCAGCAGGAAGTGCAGGTGTCTCCCTGAAATCACCAGGCTGACTCCTTCAGCTCAGAGACAGCACTGGGGGCCCAGGGCCAGGCGCCCAGGTCACAGCCTCTGCCAATCACACCTCAGAAAGTGAGCATCAGCAAAGGGCAGGACACAGACTCTGTCCCAACACTGCCCTGCGCTCTCCTAGCACAGACATCCCTGCCTGATGGGAACCTGGGAGCTGCACACACACAGAGGAGCCTAAGACACCACCTGCCTGAAGCCCCTGCTCTTCTCCCCCAGGAGGAAGACTGGGGCCGAGGGCGACGCTGCAGCACAAGCTGCGGGAGGCCCCGTCACTCCCGGGTCATCTACTGGAACTTCTGCTGGAACCTGTGCTCGTCCTCCTGCTGGGGTGGCTGTGTCTGGTGCTGCTGTTCCTGCTGGCCCTCCTGCTGACCTGTCTTCTGGGATCCATTCTTGGATTGGTGGGCGTGGCTCATCTTGTTTTGACTTGTGATGGGGGTGGGCCTTTTGCTCTGCATTGCCTCCATGGAGAACTCTTAATGGGTGTCTTTGGATGGCTCTGTGTGGGATGGCTGCTTCTCCTTGACTCACACCGCGGGGGTGGGCTTCAGTCCCTGCACAGACGTCTTGGAAGCCAGAGTGGAGCTCAGCAGCGTGAGACTGGATTCTGGATACTTGGTACCACACACCCTGGTATTCAAGATGGCCTTGGAGTCCTCACAGATGCGGTTCAAATGGCGCAGGTGCCAGCCAATTTGTCTCCAGTAGACCTTGTCGTTGTTCAAGCAGTGCAGGCACGCCGTGGGGTTGCCCGCAAAGACACAGGAGAACTCGTGGTGCAGTCGAACACAATGGACCTGCAGATGGACTCCTGCCTCCTGCCTGGTCACGGTCACATTGCATTTGGCCTGGTCTCTGCTGACAAAGCTGCCAGTGACAATGACCTGGGTTGGCGGGCTTGTGGACACTATCACGGGCTTCTCCAGAGGAACCCACCCATCCTGCTCTGCCTCCAAATTCACTTCATCCTGTTCTCCACTTTGGGCCTCTGTCAGGAGCCCCTGAGCAGCCAGCAGGAGGACGGAGAGCAGGGTGAGAGTGCGGGTCCACATGGCTCAGCTGGGCGGCCACCTGTTGGACAAATGGCAGGGTCAGTGGTGCAGGTTCAGGGTGAAGGGTCAGTGGTGCAATGTCGAGGTATAGGGTCAGGTTGCAGGGTCAATAGTACTGGGTCAGTAGGGCAGGGTCAGGGTGCAGGGTGTGTGGTGCAGGGTCAGTGATGCAGGTTTCCATTGTGCAGGGAAATAACAAGTGGAAGTGAAGAGATACAGGGTGGCCTCCCTCCTCCCTGCCACAGTCCTGCCTACTTAAGGAGGAGACCAAGCATCCTCTGGATCCCGGGAGGCCAGTACAAGCAGCCCAACCTCTCCCACGTGCACCTGACCTGAGACTGCAGTGACCCAGGCTGCCAGGCCTCACCTGCCCTCCGCACTCACTGTGCCTTATTAGCTCTCAGTCTCATCCCCTCAATCACCCACTCCTGCTCTTCCCACCCACTCTATCCTGCAGCACTCACTCAGCAAGCACTTACTGAGCACCTACTGCATGCCATGCACTAGTTAGGTTGTCTACACACTGAGGTGAATGAGAAAGCCTTGGGTCTTTAAGAATATGAGGCTGATCCCTGGGACCTATAAATAGCACTGACCAGGGATTCTGTCCCATCTGTGTCCTCAATCTCTTCCTGGAAAAGTCATTTCCTCCTCTGTGCCTCACTTCCTGCACCTGGCACTCAACATGTGCATGAATTCATCACCAACTCCTCCTGCTGCCTCGTTCGTGGTCTCTACCTCATGGTTCCACAGACACCCAGGACCCAAGATGCAAAGCGGGCAGGGAAGAGTCCTGAAGGTGCCAGGAGGTGTCCCAGACACTGAACTATGGAGACTGACACAGGGGCTGGGTGGGGTGGGGGTCACGTTAGAGCTGTTTGGGAGGAGTAAGAGCTCAGGAAAGGCATGAAGCGGGGAGATCTTCTGACCACAGTGGGGAAGAGAAACAGGAAGGGGAGCGGCAATTTTCAGACAGTGTTTAGAGTGCAGGTGACAAGAAACGGACCTGATTGGGTTCTGGACCTGAGTGCTGAGCATACAAATGTTGTTACTGACCCTTGACAAAAATCACTTAATGAATATCATGGCTGTCAGTGCCAACAGAAACGATGTGCAAATGCATTTCCCTGGCAAGGCTGTCAGTGCCAACAGAATCCATACACAAATGCATGTCCCTTCCCTACTTCACATCGTAACTAACCAGAACCAACTACCAGGCTGGTGCCTCCTCCCTTACTAGTCCTGGACTTTAACTGTTCTCCTAAGAACTTCAGGACCCATTGTCCCCCCCGTCCTCCCACAACTGCCCTTTCTCCCTTAAAATTCATCCTGCAGGCTTGCACAGGGGGTACATTTCATTCTGGACCAAGGCACCTGCTTCCCCCGGTCCACTATGTAAACACCTTATCTCACTGCTCAGTCTCCTCTCTGCCCTAGTCACTGTAGAGTGTGGAGTAGGGGGCCTAACTCCATACGGGCACAGGAGTTAATGCACCAAGTTCTCCAGGTGAACTATCAAGCCACACTGGGCAGAAGAAAAGTCCAATTCTATGGAACACCAACTTCACGCTGAGCACTGGTCCAGCATTCTAGTCTCACCTTGTGTAAACCACACAAGAACCCTACAACCAGGCTGATTACAGGAACAGCCCCAAGGAAGAGCCCGATCGTGACGCCCCGCCAGGTAAGTAAGTGTGCTGGTCCTGTTGTGTGGAGGAACAGAGCCCTGCTGGGAAAGACCCCAGTGCCTTGTCCCTTTCTGCCACCTCTTCTAGATCACCCCTGCTCTGCACCACCAGAAAATACTGGCAAAAAGATAACAACATCGAAGCAGGTTGGAATTAGCACTGAGGATAAGATGATTCACAATGGCTGTGAACTTACCCAGAAAGAAAGTAGTTTGTTTGAAAATGGGGCAGGCCAAGAAAATGGCCCTGTCCACAATCCCACCTACATGTTGGACCAACTCCAGGGATTGGGAGTGGACCAGAGCCACAGAGGGTGGGACAGAAAAACTAATACACCAGCTGATGGCTCACTCATGTCCCACGGCCTCCTCCTACCACACTGGGGCCCCTCAGAGCCTGGGAAGTGGGGCAGGAAATGAAGCTCTGGAGAGAGAGAGAGAGAGAGAGAGCGAGGCTCTTACCAGTCCTGCGTCTGCAGATCCAGCGCAATCCCCGATGCCAGGCGAGGTGCAGGTTGCAGCTGTCTCAGGAGAGGTGCAGGGACGGGTCTGCTATTTGTACAGGAGCCCAAGCCCACAGGGGTTACAGCTCCCATACCTGAGGAGCTGAGCTCACACTGCCCCCGGGCCATGTCCCTTCTCCTTCCCAGCCAGCCAGGTCCTTTAGGTAAAGTACTGTGTGGAACATTATCCACTGTTACCTGAAATGAACGTCACATGGATTCAACACACATGTTGCTAATTGAATGGCTTTAAAATCCCTACTAGCACTCCTGCTTCTACTCCTATGCCCTGCACATTCTCCCACAACTGCCCTTTCTCAGCTCTGGGGTCCTTTGGGAGCATTGAGTAGAAATTTTTGAGAAAACAACACTGCCACTGTAAATGACAAAGGCACAGGAATTCCACTGAGGAACAGGAAGAGGGCACAGGGTGGACCCAGCAGGTTGAGGACCTGGCAGAGCCCAGCACTGACATTGACAGTTCATGCTGGTCTCTGGGTGTGACACTGGGAGGAACGGAGGATCTGACTCCAGCCAACAGGGCTCAGCTTTGCTGGGAAGCAGGCCCCCCTCTTTCACCTTCACAGGGACTAAAACGTCTTTCAGGTTCTCTCTGAAGCAATCATCTGACCGAAGTCTGGCACATTTCTCAAAAGAAGGCATGGACATGGCCTCCAAGTATATAAGGAATAGCTCACCATGACCATCAGAAGGGAAATGTGAGTCAAAGCCCCAGTCAGTTCTCATCCCACCCCAGTCAGAATAATGATTATCAGAAAGACCAGAGTCACCGCTGTGGCAGGGTCGCAGTGGAAGGAGGACTTCACACACTGCTGGTGGAAATGTAAACTAGCATGGCCACTATGGAGAGCAGTGTGGGGGCTGTTCAGACCCTGAAGACTGATCTACCCCAGATCCAGCAACCCCACCCCTGGGTGTGTGCACAGGACAGGACGTGAGCTGGGGAAGAGTTGTGAGTGCAGCACTTGCTGGTCAGCATAGACCAGGTGTCCTGCAGTGGATGAACGGGGAGAGGAAATCTGATGTGTTCACAGGGACATAGACAAGACATACAGGGAAGCATGACCAGGACAAACATAAATAATGAGAAACTATCATTGGTGGAATGTGGGTGGAATTAAAGGACAGTATATTAAGAGAAACAAGACAGACACAGAAAGATTAATACCACACGTTCTCCCCTAACAGTGGAAGCTGAAATTTTTGATCTGAAAGAGAAGTGGAGAGTAAACAGTGGTCCACAGGGACTGAGAAGATAGAGAGAGGAAGGGGTGGGAAAGAGGTGAGGAGTGAGCACAAAATGGCAGCACACTTGAGGGCTCAGCTCTAATGCCCTGCAGCACAGTGGGGGGACTGCTGTGGACAATAATTTATTGTCTATTTCTAAATATTGGAAGAGAGGATTTGAATGCTCCCCCAAAAAGAAAATATTTTTGAAGTGATCCATTTGACAATACCCTGGTTTTACAACTGCATATTATATCTATTGTCAAACTACTCAGCTTACCCAATATAAGTACAATTCTCAAGTGTCAGTTAAAATTCTCAAATATATTAAATCAATCATCTGAAGAATTCAATGAATAATTAATCTTAGATTCAGAACTTAAACCATCCAAAACTTGAACAAGTGTTCCTATCCAGCAGTTAGGAGCCAGATGAGTTGGTTTCACTTCCTTCCCAGACTGATGAAGGACACCTGCTGTAGCTTCCAGAGGAATTGGTGACTCCATGGTGACATCGTGCACTGACCTCATCCCCAGAGACAAGCCCTGGGGTGAGCAGAGTTGGCTCCTTGCCCTTGGTCGGGAGATCTCCTTCCAGCTGACTGATAAGCACACCACCTGCACAGCACAGGGCATCTGCAAGTCTTCCCCAGCCTGGTCACAGCAGATCTTTATGGCCTCTGTGCTGGTGTGGCCATTGCTATCACCTGCAATACAAGAGTGCTTCAAAATCATGGGAAAAGAATGCAATTAAGAGATAAATTTGTTTTGGTTCATGAAAGTTTGAGGGTCTGGGATGTGTTGTCCTGGGAAAGACTTCCCCCTGGGACATCAGTATCCCACATGGGGGCCAGTTTGATTCCAATGCTGCTCCCTGCTAATGGCCTGGGGAAGCATCAGAAAAGGCCCAAGTATGAGGGTCCCTCCACCCATTTGGAGACCCTGAGAAGGCTCCTGGCTCCTGGCTTCAGAGTGGGCCAAACATGGCCATTATAGACAGTTAGTAAGTGAACTGGCAGAAGGAAGATCTCTCTCTGTCTCTCCTGCTCTCTCTATAATTTTGATTTTCAAAGCAATAAATAAGTCTTTAAAAATTTTTATAATCCATGTGTATATTTTTCATAGCATGCATTTTCTATGAATTTTTTAACAATCAGTCCAATTCATACTTCGAATAAAAGAGCTAGGAGAACTGAACACCAAAAAGGAAACCTCCTGAAGTGAAATGGACACTATGAGAAATGGTGACTTGATCAGCATAGCCCTGACTGTTAATGAACAACTTAATACATTATCCCTCTTAGTAGTTTTTTTGTCTGTTCTACTTAATATGACAGGTTTAATTCTGTAATTATCACACAGTTATTCTTAAGTGTTGAAAATTAACTGAAATGTGATCCCTGTTAAACATAAGAGTGGGAATAAGAGAGGGAAGAGATGTATAATTTGGGACATGCTCAAGCTGACTTGCCCCAAATGGTAGAGTTAGAAACATACCAGGGGATTCCAATTCAATCCCATCAAGGTGGCATGTACCAATGCCATCTCACTAGTCCAAGTGATCAATTTCAGTTCACAAT